TTGAAAGTAGAATATTGGACAAAATTTTATATGAAGTTGATAGCAGTGATATCCCCCGATAATTACTACAGTCAGTTTTATCACCATTCTTGTGAACTGGTACAATAATAGACTCCTTCCACTGATCAGGCAATTTTTCCTCACGCCAAATAGAAGTAATTAGACTGTGTCTTAGAACGTACTATTTCACCTCCTGCTTGAATAAGTTCTGCCGGAATTTGATCACTACCTGGCGATTTATACCGTTTCAATTTTGCAATAGCATTTTCAACCTCAAAAGGGCTAGGATTAGGTATTAAAGGCTCAGCTGTATCGATTTCTGTCTGCCTAACATCACTGACCCTATGTACATTCAATAACTGAGAGTAGTAGTTCCTCCATCTATTCAAAATGTTGTGGGAATCTGCAAGCAGATCACCATTCTCATCCTTCACTAAGTTACTGCTAGGCTGGAAACCCCTTTTAAAGTCATTTATTCCTCTATACAAATCTCTAATGTTCTTGTTCTTACTGTTCATTGCAAGCTCATCAGTTTTGTCTTTCAGATATTCCCTCTTTTTGTTCCTGAAATGCCTGCTGGTTTCACGTCTTATATTGTTCAGATTATCCCCATTTAACTCGCTTGGATCCTGTAACCACTACAATTTGGCTTCCTTTCTCTGATCTAATAATCTTGAGAATCCTTCATCGAACCATGGCTTATGCTTCTTTGGTTCATAATAACCTAGACTCTCCTTGGCAGACATTTTTATATTATCTCTAATAGTTTCCCAAGTTTTATTAACATCCACCTCAGTGTCCAAGTCTTCCAAAGCCATAAACCTATTTGAGATTTCAACGCAATATTGCTCTTTACCCTCTACCTCATTTAACCTTTATCCTACGGGCATTTAAATTCCGGTATGGGCAGCGGTACGGAATTAATTTACATACCCGCGATTATAAATCCATAAAAACTGCAATCATTTACTAAATTTGCTCCTATTTCTGCAATTTGTGATAAACGAACGAAATAAACGCTGTTTTTTTCTAGAAAGAATGTAGAATCAGATATTGTAATTTACAGACTTTATAAAATGTGTAAAAATTTTTAGACTGATTCCAAGTAAAAAATTCCCAAATTTGTCGTCTCTCTACATGAATTCAGAGTTCTTGGAAGTAAGAATGCTGTATGTAAATGTGGCAACACAGCGGATGGTCTATGTCGTCATGTTTAGTCTTGCATATATCGAAAGATTATACACGTAGTTCTTTTGGTATGCAGAGATGTGGGGTGAGTATCTATTCGTATACAAGAACCCCGATTGTTTATTACAAGAACCCCGATTGTTTATTATCGCTTGTCGCAACACAACAAGCTCTCTGTCCTCACTCCTCACTCTGCTGGAAGTAGATTATAAGTACTTTCATGGTTAGCATCGTAATACTGCCAAGCAGTATCAAAAGCGTGAACCAACCATTGCGCTGTCTCGTTAGGAAGACGCTGACATATTTCAACTCATAAACGACTCCGAATAAGACTGTTGTAAATTCAATTCTGAGAGTGGCGTTGAGGAAAGTAAATTGATTTCGACGAAGACCCATGATCTTGGTCGGCAACCTGGGGACCACCACACCAGCATGGCAAGAGGAGTGTGAATAATTATTATGGTGGACCTGTGGGCAAACTGTGGCAAACAGTTATAGCATCTGTTGTCGAACCTGGAAATGGACAAATAAGCTATTTTTCCATCTCCTTGATCTGAACAGTTACATCCTGTTGTCCCACAGAGAATTTCGTCTCACTCTTGTGCGGAACATGCTGGAAGGGGTCCACCTCGCAATCAACGGCCAGGGGTCGAACCCCTGCCGTTTTATGGGAGATATCTCGATTATAGAAGGCCAAACCACATCACTGGCCGACTTCCTCTACTTCGCAATTGAGGTGTCGTGTGTGCTTTTCGCGTGGGAAACGAAAGACCGTCCGGACAAAGTGCGTGAAGTGCGAAATCGGACTCTGCATTTCCGGATTTTTTTTAGAATTCCACACGAAGGCAACATTCCAGCAGATGATGCAGGTGGGAAGACAGACACTCCATGCAGATGGTGGCCAAAAATTATAAGTAGGACATTATTTTCTACCTTAAAAATGTATTTCAAATAATATCCGCACGCGCGGACTGTGCAAGCCCATATGGCGTCATTCGTACCGCTGCCTTTATTTTTGCAACGACATACGTTGTCTTTAGTCATTTAAAGGTTAATTTCTTGAGATTGAACCTCTCCATATGAACTCTGTGTGTTGTAGATCACATTAGTAAGATTAAATAAAATATGAGCCATAATAATTTTAGATAGGACAACTGAATATATATAAATTGAAAATATATTAGAAATAATTACAGATAATTACTGAGCCAGGTCTGTTATAATTTATATATTATGACCAGTAATGTCATCCCAGTTACTGTAGATCTGTGTCCTCTTGTGGAAACATTGTGAAATACATATTAGAAATAGGCTAAACAATTTATTTTGTTTAAATTTATATGAAAATATGAATGATTGTGTCCCAGTAAATCCAGTGAAATCAGTAAGAATTTCCACATGATATGAAATAGTACAATTAGATGAAAGAATTCTATTTGAACACACCATGAAGATTCACAGATTCAGTTTGGTGACACCACAGTTATCCTGGACATAGGGATAAAGAAAAATATTCAAGTGCATCAGCCAGAAACAAACCCAACCCATGCAGCCAGTAGCCAACTATTTCCTGGCCGTTGATGCAAACCAAAGAATGCGTACAAGATACTGTCTGTGCCCTTATTCCTGCCTGCCCTCAGTGGAGCGTCCACTGGATTCTGGCAGGTCCACTGTGGTAAGGAATGAAGGGTGTGTATGTATCATAACAAGATCTTAGTCACGGTGAAACACACTTCCCCCATCCCACAGTGCAACTGCAACCACTGTCCTGCTACTTCAGGCCATACTCCCCTTACTTTTCATTATGCCCACTCCACAGGCTGAGTCTATGGGTGTATATATTATCTCAAAAATATTTTGTAATTTTGGTCAAGCTTCTGTGCGGGACAGCCCTGACCACAGAGCAAGTTATCACATTCTGAGGGCTGAAGTTGTGGGCCTTATTGCCAACTCAGCACCTTTCTGGTTACTGAAATGTGCAGTATTATAAAGTGTTCCTCAGTTTAACAGCTTTCCTCATTTAACGTTTAGAGTGGAGCTACAACTTACATCTTACTCAAATTGCCATTAAGTACATACTTTTGTATATAACTTCTAATCTGTATGTACGCAATGTATAATAAGAGTATACAGAAAGAAAATATAGAGTAACTTTATTATTAGTTACATAAGAAACAGAGACAGACAGAGATGGAAGACTGAAAGTATAAAAAACAAATACAAATAACCTGAACTGACCATTCATCCTGGACATTCTGACGACTTGTATTCACTCCTGGCTTACGGTCACCGAGTGGCATGGCATATGGAAACGCACAACCCTGATGGGGGGGAAGCAACAGCGACCAGAGTAACTTGCTGCCTCCACCTTCCATGCAGATTCTTCTCAAAAGACACGTGCCTGTGCAGTAAACTGTGTTGAGGCACACCCCAGAAGACTCCAATCTTAATTCTGCAATTCCTTTTTGATTATTGGTTTTCATCTTTGTCCGGCAATGACAGCAGGAAAACCTTAACTCTTCAACAACGCAGGACATTTAATTCCCACACATTCCTTTGGAGGGAGGATATTTAAACATTTAAAATGGTAAAAGCAACGTTTCACTTAAAGTGTAATAAACTGGGAAAACTAATGTTTTGTTTTTCTAATTTTCATATCATGTTCAGAAATGTATATAGAATTGGTGTATTGATCCACACTCCTTTACAATTATTTTTTGGCACAGTAAGCCTATAAAAAGTAGGAAAATAGTAGTATCATATTATCTTTATTATCTTAGAAATTCAGCTGGTTGTGTTGAATGAATGAATGTATGAGGGGTAGGCCTTCTCGGCCATTGCACCACGACCTACAGTGGCCTATCGTGCTTTCCCTTTTGATTATCCCTCAGCAATCCTGCGCTTTGAATGAAGCGCGGGATTTTATACGTGGGGGTGTAAAAATAGTCACTTGGTTCCCTAACTATTGACCCAAGTGAGGTAATCTTAAATAAGCTAAGGCTTCACATTCACATAGGTTATGTGTGGTTGTGTTAGTCATGAAAATATCCCACACAGAGTCCCACATCACACAGTTTTTGACACACAACTTGACATTTCTGTTGTCTTGATGTCTTCACAGTTGGTGGAATCTTGGTTATAAAATTTCTTTCTCTTAGACAGGCACTGTTTTCCTGATGAATGTCAACCTGGCACTTTGTATTCTACAGCATTAGCATATTTCACAAAGAGTCCCTCAATTATCTGAATTCTGATTGACAACTGATCTATTATTCCTACATACGTTGTATCATCCCATTCAGAAATTTTATTTTTGCCCCTTATAGTTTTGAAAATTCTCCCAATGGATGTTCGTGCTTTTCTCGATTCTGTCACTTACCACAGAATCAAGAAAAGCACAAACATCCATTTTCAGTGTCAAATTCTATGATAAATTTTTGTTCTGATTCAGTTTGAAGTAAAATATCCTCCACTGGTCATAACACAACACAGCCGGCCACTTCACTGCTCGTGACTGGCCTTGGCAGCTAAAACCAGACTGCACAGGAATTACAGTAGTACCATTCATATAGCGAACTGTTTATGGTTTGCTGCACAGCAGTCATAACACACTTCTTAGAGTCAACATCAAGTCTCAAAGTCACACATTGTCCACATGTTTTCTCATGCTTCCAAATTAAAATCTCAAAGCAGCACTGGTCACAACATGCATAAAAAGAATTGACTTGTCATTCGATCAACATTCAGGACAGCACACAGTCTCTATCTAACATATTTAGTTCATAAGAATTCCTCATGGCGAGAATAGATTTGTACGGTAACAAGCACATCAGGTGTTAAAGTAGAAAAATTTTTCAAATAATTCAAATGTATTACAATTGCCGCAGGAAGTTCAAGGTGGGACAATGAAAATAAAAAATGATAGCCTGAAATTTCCTCTTTAATTTCAGACAAAAAGAATTACTTTACATGAAAAACAACAGTTCAAAATAGGCCGAAACTTAGCACTGCACTGTGCGAGCCACATACAGACTTCAGTGACATGTGACAAAAGCCACTGGCATGCTACAACACTGAAGGATTAAAATTATTCCCTTCTCATACATTATGTTGTGCTTTGAACATGGCAGTTTTCTGAATTACCTGCCAGGTAGGTGCAAACCGTGGGCCAGCATGCATGTCCGAGGCAGTGCTGGTGTGGGCAGAATTCACTGCCGATGAGTGCCGTGGGGAAGAAGGGCCTGAGTGCACTGGCAGGTCATGATGTTGTTGGTGGCAGCGTGTCACCCCTGTTGGTGAGCTCTGCAGGAACCCTGCTGGGTGGTTAGAATGTCTCACAGCATAAGCATCTTCAGTCCACACTGGGTCACATTCATGACAGCACAATGGTCTCAGTGGAATGCTGAAACAAAGTGAATAAAATTCAGTTTCCTAGTGCTATGAGAATCGAAGAATTAAAGATAATAATCTTTTTGTCATGTCCTTCCGCATAATTTCTGCTGTACAGAGATCTATGTGCATGATATCTCCAATCTCTACCCCTTCTTCCCACATTTCCCTTTTGATACCTTGCCAGTTACTTCCTCTCTTCGTACTGTCTATTAGTATCCTCCTAACTGGGCGACTCTCAAATTCAGAAAATAATTCTAAAGCCCTTCTCAACATCCCTGCTCTAGCCACACTCATTCTCTTTGCATGACCAAGCAGCTGTACACATTCCTCTTATAATTACATTCCTTCTCATTTTTCCCTTTAACATCTTCCAAAATTATTATACTCATTACATGGATTACAGTAGGAATAATTAACTTCCACAAAGCAACACACTCTGCTGTCCAGTGCCATACCATTCTCATATTCTCATACAAGCAGCAAGACTTTCACAGAAAACATATTATTTCTGTAAAGTTACTTAATAAGAAAAGTTTCCAGTGTCTAGAACAGAAGCAAACATACAAAAACTGTGAACTAGATAACTCCATACATTTCCCACATTTAAGTTACTCTGCCAATGTAATCACACACATTGCTTGCTTCACTGTTACTGTACTTCAACTACGTCCCATCTTCAAAGGACGTATAACCAATTTCATATTCAGATATTAGCTTGTATTTTAGTAATTAGAAAATTATATGTTGCAGTGGCTATTGACGTGTATTCTCACCTCCCTCTGTTGCTGGTGTTAGGATGGTGTCGTGGTGATCTAGGACAGCCCCTGTGAGTACCCACGAATTATGTTCATGTGGACCGGGGGTGGCCAATTCCTCGATCCAACTGTGTCATTCTTCCGGTACTCTCTGCCTCCCGATGGATGCACGNTTCGCCCTAAGAAGGAAAGCAACATTTTTTTATGCCAATACTGTGCTATGAAATCCACTCACTACACTCACTGAGTTATTCCACCTCCTAAAAGGAGATAAATTATGAAATATTGTAGAAAAGTAACTCCTCAAGGAATAAGTAGTGTATTGAGAAACTGGAAGTCAGAAATTACATATCTGGATCACTAAGTTTCTGGATATTGTCCATCAATTTGTATTCTGAATGAACGTATTGTTTCATAAACACTGATCTGTCCCTGTTCCTGTCCCTGAGGTGAAGGGGTCCTACTTAAGTGGATCCATTTGAAAGAGCTAATCTTAATCACAGAATAATGTAAGTCAATCAACTACATCTATATATGGAGCTGTGATCATGTTCTGTCATTGGGAGATCTACAATTAGAAAAGTGGACATACCATAAAGGCCTAAAACCCAAACTAAATGCAGGAAAAACAATGCAGAAGACATCTGAAATTTACTTGCCATGCTATACTCTCCTACTGCTAGTAGAAAATCACTGGCTTCTGTGATGTTAGTCATCAATCTAGTACGCAGGTACCAACTTTTCAAACATATCTTCTGCCTCCATATCCCTGAAGATGGACATCAATCTAGCACACAGTACCAAATTTTCATGCATATCTACTACCTCCATATCCCTGATGATGGAGGCGGTATGCTCCTCTCGAATGTCAGTAAACCCATACCAGATTGCATGGTGTAACATCCCACAGGACATTAATCCTGATGTGAGATTTGAGGTTACTGCTGCACTGACTATGAGGACTACGATCTTCTTGGATATGATGGCATGTAGTCTGGTGTACATTTACTAACAGTTTGCAGGAACAAGCTGTTTCTGTCTTCAGGGTAGAAGACTATGGAGGAAACATATTCATCCAACCAAATTACACATTCACACATCCCAGAAACAGTAATTTTTCAGAGTCACTGGAGTGAGAACCTCCAATTTCTTAACATAAAATGATTCGTGGTAACAGCATTGGTCAATAGACCATGCTTCAGTACATACCTGCAGTTGCCTAGGTGCATAAGTTGCAATGTGAACATATGGTCATCCTGAGAGTGCATTCTGCTCAGGAGCAACTCTACCAAGTTGTGACTGCACCAGGAAAGGCGGATAAAGCTGATAACGATGGTTGTGTGGTGTGCAGTGGCCAAACTGATGGACCTGCAAGGCAAGACCAACAATCACCCAAGTTACAAAAAATACTTGTTCAATTACTTGACTGTCAATTTACAACGCAAACTTTTATTTAAAAAGCTAATTCTTGCTATTCTGTTTCATAAATTATGCTCAGGTTGGTGGTAGCTAAGAATACAGTGAAATCTCAGTTTAAGATATCTTTAGACACCAGTGTATTCGAACATCAAACTGAGGAAAACCTTAAATTGAGATGATTTGAGTTTACTAGCTTGGGGGACATTAAAATGGAACATTAAATGGGGGAAATCCTTCTACAGAGGAATATTACATGTGGGTTCCATTACTGCAGTAAAAACTATGATTTCTCTGATGGGCCATGTGGTGGATGGCTGTAGAAAGCAGGTTTGATTCCTGGCAGAATGAAGAGACTTTTCTGTCCTTCACAGTCCTCATCAGCTCCGGCGTCCACCCAACCTCCTAACAAATGGACACCGGATGCTCTGCCCCCATCATTACAATGGCCAGTGCCTAGGTTAAGAATTTGTGGACTTACAGCTCTACTCCCCACTAAGTCTTCACAGTATTTTGCTTAGTTAACTGAGCCCAAGAATAATTTATTGAGTATTGATCTACAGAAAAGGTAAAAAGGTTAAGTTGTCCCTGTTCTTAACTGATTACGCACTATGCCATGAAGACATATGGGGGAGTGGATGTATAAAACCATGTCTTCTTGAGATTCCCTCTAGTAGGAGGTGGGTGGTCAGCTTCACAGCTTGGGGAAAGAGCTCCTGGTACCCACTGGGTAGGAGGCTAGGCAAGTCCTAGAGCTGGTCTGGACGACATGGAGAAACCAAATTTCTTGCCCCCACAGGGACTTACTGGCAGGTAGGTGCAAACCGTGGGTCAGCATGCAGGTCCAAGGCAGTGCTGGTGCAGGCAGAATTCACTGCCGATGAGTGCCGTGGGGAAGATGGGACTAAGTGCATTGGCAGGGCATGATGTTGTTGGTGGCAGCGTGTCACCCTTGTTGGTGAGCTCCGCAGGAACACTGCTGGGTGGTTAGAATGTCTCACAGCATAAGCATCTTCAGTCCACACTGGGCCACATTCATGATAGCACAATGGTCTCAGTGGAATGGTTAAACAAAGTGAATAAAATTCATTTTCCTGGTATTATGTGAATCAAAGAATTAAACACAATAATATTTTTGTCATGTCCTTCTGCATAATTTCTGCCATACGCAGATCTATGTGCATGATATCTCCAATCTCTACCCTTTCTTCCCACATTTCACTTCTGATAACTTGCCAGTTAGATCTTTTCTTCTTACCGCCTATTAGTATCCACCCAACTGGGTGACTCTCACATTCAGAAAATAATTTTAAAGTCCTTCTCAACATCCTTGCTCTAGCCACACTATCATTCTATTTGCATGACCAAGCAGCTACAAACATTCCTCTTATATTTACATCCCTTCTCATTTTTCCTTTAACACCATCCAAAAATTTTATATCCATTACTTGGATTACAGTAGGAATAATTAACTTCTATAATGAAACACACTCTGCTGTCCTACAGATTAATTTTTCTCTTCCAGATGTATAATTTCATTTGGTATTAATTAAATCCAAATTTGAAGTATCATGGAAAGTCCAAGAATGTCTAATGAAGGTAAAATTGTCCCCATGCTCAATTAAGCATTATGCCATGAAGGCATATGCGGCAGTGGAGGTATAGCTCCACCATTCTTGACCTTGACACTGGATGAAGGTGAGTGGTCAACTTCATGCCCTGACTGCTTTATCCCCCTGGGGGAGTAAACCCTGGTACCCACTGGATAGAAGTTTAGGTGGGCCTCAGAGCTGGTCTGGATTGCTACAGAGGAGAGAAATATTCTCTGCCAGGAACTGAACCTTGGCCATCTAGCCTGTAGCATGTTACTATACTGGCTGAGCTATCTCATGAAACAAAATTACATTTCTTCAAATTTTAGTAAGGAATCTCATTATGAATATTTATCAAAATCTATTCACTGTGACCAGCTGTCTCTGTGTACTGGCATACTGGAACAGCATTAGGATGCAGTACTTCCATGCAGAAATTGCTGTTTGATTTGAGAAAGTAACATAATTTCATCCTTTCATCTACAGATCTGTAAGCAGAGACATTATTTTCTTCAATATGAACGGTAGACAAACAGCTATTAAATGATGACTACTCTTTTGCCCCACTCATTGCAGAGAGCATTAAGGGCAGACACATTCCAGTTGTCATGGGTGTTCACAATCATTTTTTAGGATAAAGAGTGCAAGTAAAGTTTATCAAGTAAAAGAAATTGCAAAAGAAACTAATCTTTCAGACAATAATGTTAGTGAACCAACAGAAATCGGAAAAGGTAATTGCAGTCTACTAAATTCAGTGAATAATAAAGTACTAAGAATATTCCATCAGAATATAAGAGGATTGAGAAACAAAACAAATGAACTAATAAGCTCCATGAATTCAAATCTTCCACACATACTGTGCCTTACTGAACATCACATGAAACAGCTGGAATTAGAATATCTTCACTTAGAAAATTATAATTTAGGTGCTAGATACTGTAGGAAAACACTGGAGAAAGGAGGAGTGAGTATTTTTGTACA